GAAGATGCTGAGGCTGTGGAAGATGCTGCAGAAGAAGCTGAGGCTGTGGAAGATGCTGCAGAAGATGCTGAGGCTGTGGAAGATGCTGCAGAAGAAGCTGAGGCTGTGGAAGATGCTGCAGAAGATGCTGAGGCTGTGGAAGATGCTGCAGAAGAAGCTGAGGCTGTGGAAGATGCTGCAGAAGATGCTGAGGCTGTGGAAGATGCTGCAGAAAAAGCTGAGGCTGTGGAAGATGAGGATAATGCTGGGGTCGGCACGACAACGCCGGCGGCTGCGTCCGCGGACGTGCGGCACCTCCTAGACTCGTTCTTCGGCGGGGCCACAGAGGGCGCCGGCGTGCACAAGGAGCCGGGCGATCTTCTACAGCTGTCCACCAGCGAGGGCGCCTTCGTCACTCGCAACCTGCTTGAGTTCTCACTCGCATCGCCAGGGGGCGACGTCATCAGCCCCGAGACTGAGCGAGTCCAAGAGAGGGCGCTGATGACGTCTGCGGCGACGTGTGCCGTCACCAGGAGGCGCTGGAATAAAACCGAGGCGGCGAGTAGCGTAGAGCGAGAGATTTGCGACGCCGCCGTAGACCATGCTCACCAGGTGGCGACGGGAAGGCTGCTCGATTTGACGGCCGCGGATGAAGCACCAGCTCCCCCTGGCCACGACGCGGTGCGGGCGACGTTGAAGCTAGTTGATATCACGATAGACGTGGCTGAGCGTAATCCTGTGGCAACCGATCCTGACGCCATGGCAACCGATGCCGCTATTGTGATGACTGGACTCCTCCCCAGAGGCCCGGATCGTTCCGCAGATGCGCTTCCGACCTTGAATGCAGGCAAGGACGTTGAGAACGACGAAACAAGAGAACGTGCCTTGCCCGGCTCGGAGCAAGACATCTCCCGTGAGGCGAGTCCTAACCAGCCCGCCCAGGTGGCGCCGGTGATGCGGCAGGTGGCGCCCCGCGGTGTCGGCATCCCTCATCTCGCGAGGACCACGCCTCGCCGCGTCTCGGACGAGACGTCGCCCCGTCGCCGTGGCGATGACGATGCCGGCATCCCGCGCAGGATCCGCACGTCGTGGCACGTATCCGAGATGTCGGCGCCGCCACCAGAGGGCGCCGCGATCCCGCGCAAGGCGAAGACGTCTCGCCGTGTGTCAGACGAGAGCTCGACGGAATTTGCTCACATTCCCCTGAAGGCGAGAACCGACCGTCACGTGTCGGAGACGACGGTGGCGCCATCTAACGACGACGCGTTCCCGCGGATGGCGCGGATGGACCGTCACGTGTCGGAGACGACGGTGGCGCCATCTAACGACGACGCGATCCCGCGGAAGGCGCGGACCGACCGTCACGTGTCGGAGACGACGGTGGCGCCATCTAACGACGACGCGATCCCGCGGATGGCGCGGACCGACCGTCACGTGTCGGA